CCATGAATCTTTTTTTTTTCTTAATCCCTTAACCCTTCTTAACCAGTTCATAATCCCCTCTCCTCTGACACTTGTCAGTCTGTTCTCTGTATCCATGATTCTCCACTTTGTTTGACAGTTTATTTTGTTCATTAGATCTCATATATAAGTGAAATCAAATGTACTTGTCTTTCTCCTTCTGTTTTATTTCACTTAATATAATACTCTCCAAGTCCATCAATGCTGTTAGAAAGATAAGGTATCTGTCTTCTTTTTCACAGCTTAGTATTCCATTGTGTAAATGTACCACTGCTTTTTATCCATTTATCTACTGAAGGAAACTTGGGCTACTTCTAAATCATAACTATCTATATGTATAATAATAAAAGCATAATATGCTAATTAGACTGGATAGCCAAATGACCTTCCAGACATCATTCTGAACATCCTTCTAGACAAAGCTGCAGCAGCAGTGACTGAGGCAGAGGTAGTTAGGGGTGATCAGGCAGGCAGGAAGCCAAGCAATTAGGGGTGATCAGGCAGTTAGGCAGAGTGGTTCGGGGTGATCAGGCAGGCAGGTGAGTGGTTAGGATCAGTTGGACATCTCCTGAGGGATCCCAAATTGCGAGAGGGGGCAGTCTGGGCTGAGGGGATTTTTCCCCACCCTGTGTATAAATTTTGTACACAGAGCTTCTAGTATCTTACCTAATAAAAGAGAAACATGCAAATTAACCATCACTCCGCTATGCCCACAGCAAATCAGAGTGAGTATGCAAATTAACCAAACAAAGATGGAGGTTAATTTGCATATGCAGGTGCAGAGCAATGTGAAAACCTGCTATGAGAGGAAGGGTGGATGCGAAGAAAACTACTGGAGTGGTGCTCCAGACAGAAGTGAGGACTTGCTGGCTGTGGGTGACACAGCAGCAGGGAATTGCCAGCTCTTGGACAGCTGGGAGTAAGGCCAGGGGAAGGAAGGCCTATTCTTGCACATATATCGTGCAATGGGCCTGTAGTTACATAAAAGCCTAAGCAATCATTCAACCATTCATCTGGTTGTTATGATTCTCCATGACCACCAGGGGGCAGACACTCAACTCACGAGCTGCCCCCTATTGGTCAGTGAGCTCCCACAACAGGAGTGTAGCTCAGCATACTACGGGTGCTAGATGCCAGGCTCACAGCTGGCAGGTGCAGCCTTTGCAACACGAGCCTCTCCCTCAGACACTCCCACTGTGTCTCAACGTGGCTCAGTTGGTTGGAGTGTTGTCCCATACACCAAAAGGTCATGGGTTCAATTCCCAGTCATGGCACATATGTATAGGTTGCAGTTTCAGTCCCCAGTTGGGGTGAAAGGCAGAGTCAATAGATCAACATTACTCTCTCATCTCTCTCTTTCTTTCCTCTCCTCTCTCTAAATTCAGTGAATGGATGAGGATTTAAAAAAATTCATAGTGCAAAACAAGGTTAATATGCCCATAGTAAAGGAAGCAAACATGTTGAAAAAGGCATACTGAACTGATGTCACCCCAATAAATTTAATTTTAAAAAGGAAAAGAAAAAGGCATACTGACTGTTCAGGTGAAAGGAAAATTTGTATAGAACATGCTTTATATTTTCAATAAAATACACATGAATGTTAATTTTATGAAACAATAAAAGATAAGAATAATATAAAAATAGACTGAAGAGAAGAAAAAACTGGACAAATGACTAAAATAAAGGTGAGCTTGATGAGATCAGAAAAAAAGACATCATAAATAATATAATAACCAAATAAATGTGACATTAGGGACAAAAGAATAGAACCCACACTGTGGAAAATAAAATCAGTACTATGGAAGCTAAGCCAAAAATTATTTCTTACATTAAAGGAAAAAAATGATAGAAAATAATAGATTCTGAGGCAAAAAGTGAACATGTAACATAGAAAGACAAAACGAAAAGTATAGTGGAGACTATTACTTATAAACTTGAGGCCCCGGTGCATGAATTCATGCATGGGTAGAGTCCCTAGCCCTGGCTAGCAATCAGGGGAGGAACAGGGTGCAAAAGGTTGGCCACTGGCCCCAAGGAGGGAGCTTGCCCTTGACCCTCCCAGGAAAGGGGCCATGTCCACCACCACACATCCCCGGTTCCTTATTCCAGACAGGTACCCAAAGGCTCCAGAGGGTTGGGAGAGGAGGCAATGGTTGCTGGGCCAGGAGCAGAAGGAACGGAGATCAGAAGCCAATGTTGACATTGGTGCCCCACCACTGTGTAGTTCCTTGTCTCTCCTCTCCTTCCCTTGCTGCTGTGCCACCACCACACTGAGTGAGAGGTGGACCAATTGGGGCCTGCTGGCCAAGGGGAAGGACCACAAATGGTTGGTCAGCCACAGCAGGTTGGCTGTGGGAGCGCACTGACCACCATGGGGCACCTCCTGCATTGAGTGTCTACCCTCATAAAAGCCTAAGCTTGTGCGCATCAGAGTGACTGGTCAACCTGTCATTCCAATCATTCTGGTCATTCGGTTGTAACAGTTGCTTAGGTTTTTATAGATATACACTAGTGGCATGATGCACAAAATTCATGCAAGGGGCTCAGCCCTTTCAGCCTCAGCAGCTTGCCTTGGCACTCGCAGTCTCAGCTTTGTCCGGAAGGTTGTCCAGAATGACGTCTGGTCTATTTAGCATATTACACTTTTATAGATATGCATGCATTATTCCCAAATAGAATACCAGCAACTTGAATCAACTATAATAAGAGAGTGGCAGTTCATTATCTAATGAAATGTATTTCTGTAATAGTCATCATTCAATATTAAGAAATGTATTAATATAATATATTGCATCAATAGAGAGAAATGTTATTTAATATCTTGATAGCTAATATTAAAACATCATGAAGATTATGGATGAGCAATAATTATTACATACTTTAACTTAATTTAATTCTTACAAGACACTTGTATTGATTATGATTATCACCATCACTTACCTGAAAAGAAAACTGAGATGAAAGATTAAGTACAAGTGAAGGTTACCCAGCTAGTAAGTGGCAGCTATGATGTGAAGAATGCACTTTTTGTTGTCATTTCAAAAATGGGTATTCATATTTCTGTATATGTGTATAATATGAATGTGTGATATTCTGTAAGAACAATTATACAAAATTGCATTAAAATCTAAAAGATAAACTACTGTATACCATATAACTGTAAAAAACACACATTTAAAAATAACTGAAGGAACACACATAAAAATATTAAGGAGGCTACCTCTAAATTATCAATTTAATGGTGACTTTTATATTATATGTCCTGCTTATCACTATTTATATGCAATATTCATATGAACAAATACGTATACTAAGGAAGATGTCTATAAACATATAAATAGTAATACAAAAGTTATCAAAATTCGGGCATCTGAAGCCACACAGTAACTTTTCCCAGATAGGTTCTACTGTCATAAACAGCTACGGAAATGGGGGAAATCTATTAAGTACCTGTTTTCAAAAAACATTTTCTTAGAAAAGAAGCAAGGTAAGACTGAGATGTATGAAATAATAGGAATGAGGAGATCTCTACAGGAGTCCAGTTCTCTGCCTGAGAACAGTTTCCTGTGCCTGGCACAGGGTCCTGAAATTTGAGCAGAATGTGGAGACTCCATTGTGTCCAGGAGGCAGAGATCAAAGTGCTCGGCAGCTGAAGTAGTTAGAATCCGTGAGTCTGATTAACAGAAAGAAGGGAGGTTTGCAGAGTTGACTCAAGAAGTTTATATGGGGTTCATAAATATCCTTGGCAAATGAAGAAAATCAGAAGGTTCTTTCATAGTAGTTAGAAGGATGCCCTGGAGTAATGTTCTCTAATGGAGGTAATAGTAAGAACATCATAGAAATGTTGAGAGGATTAATTTTTTACCTCAAGAATTCAACACATATATCATAATCATTACTGTTATTACTATGAGCAGAACATGACACTGTTGTTTTTTTAATATATTTTATTGATATTTCATAGAGAGGAGGAAGGGAGAGAAATAGGGAGCTAGAAATGTCAATGAGAGAGAAACAATCATCGACCAGCTGCCTCTTACACACTCCCCACCGGGAAAGTGCCCGCAACCAATGTACATGCCCTTGATTGGAGTCAAACCTGGGCCCCTTCAGTCCACAGACCGATGCTCTACCACTGAGCCAAACTGGCTTTGGCAGGACATGACACGGTTAAAAGCAGTATATCAAATCATGAGGCAAAGCTATTTTTTTTTAATTTCAAATATCTTTTAGAAGAAAAATGGGACTTGGATAAAATAAACTTAAAAAGAGTTGCTAACTGGTAATATTAGACACGATTACAGTCAGACTTCAGGTAAGTCTGTCAAGTCAGTACATGACTACATTGCTATTCTATTCCTATTGCTATTGAAACACATACGTTACTCCAAACTCTGTGGCTGAAAAGAACACAAATTTGTTATCTTACAGTTCCAGAGGACAGAATCTAAAATGAGTCTGATGGGCTAAAATCAGAGTGTTCATAGGGCTGGTTCCTTCTAAAGGCTGCAGGGAGGATGGGTTTCCTTGCCCTCTCTAACTTCTAGAGGCTGCTGTGCTCAGCTGTGGATCCTTCTCCATCTTCAGATGAAGCTGCAGAGCACCTTCTCCTCCTTTCACATGACCTTCTCTCCTGCATCACATCTCCTTCTGCCTCCATCCTACAATGATAAATGTGATTACTCTTAGGACCCACCAGATGGTCTAAAATAATCTACCCATCCAAGATCCTTGACTTAATCACACCTGAAAAACCTGCAATGTCAGATAAAGAAACATTCACTGGTCCTAGGGATTTGGGTATTGTCATCTTTGGAGGCCTGCCACAGAAGCCAATAGGAGTGAGATTGGAAATGAGAGTGGAAGAGAGGAGGAGACACTAGGATGTTGCGCAAAATTTTATTTTTAAAGCATTTGGTCAAGAAGAAACACATTTGAAGCAAAAACAAATATATAAAATAAAATGTCATTGTTATTTTTAGGTGTTTTGAATGTTTATCTACGTTTGAAAGGGCAGACAACAATGGAGAATCCACTATGGTCTTCAAGTGGGAATAAAGGACAACGATGGAATGAGGCTCATGTCAATATATATCCAATTACTTCATTTCAGGTAAGAAAGCAGTCATTTCTGCAGATAGATTGCTTGTGGCACATAAGCATGGGTTAAAGCATTAGAATATTGATATTCAGAAATTATTTGATATTATTACCCCCAAAATCAGATGATTAAGGTTTTCTTTAGTTGTAAAAGCTGTTTTATAAAGAGGAAATGCCCTTTTCCTTTATTGATTAACATCTGTGAAGGAGTATGTTTGAATAATAGTCTATCAAACAATTTGCCTGGAGTAAATGTAATCTATTTCTAAAAAAAAAATTCCACTTGTGTATTTTGTTCCCTGAAGATAAATAAAATAGGCTCTTATAATAATGAAAACTGAATAATCAATTCTCAATTAAGCTGTCTGAATCTTACATGATGCAATTGTATATACTTTAGCAAAATGTATCTCTTTAAAGTATTGTCATTTCAGTTATTTATCACAAAGTCAGAGAAATTTAATGTTATTTTTATTGTTTTTATATAGAAAATAAATAAGGCTTAGATTAAGTTGAGAGTTAGCTGCAAATATATAATGAAATTTTAATGACTAGCAATGGTCATGATAGCTAGAAACAATATTTTAGAAAACCATTTCAGTGAAGAAAATATTGTAATTTCAATAATATTATATTATATAACTATATATGTATATTATATATCCTCAGATTAAGTTTTTTACTATTGGTGATTCTTTGATGCATTCCATGGCATATACAGGAAGAATATGACAAATCTGACAGCTCCAATTATGCTTTTTTGTGTGTGGAATGTTCTTTTCTTGTCATCTAATCTATAAAACACTAATGGCTTTTATTTAGAAATTGCACATCTAAATCAAACCAGGATGATAAAAATGCATCTAGTTGTTCACATTGATAAAGAATAATGAGTAAGACTAGCTGAATATCTACAAACACATAATAGCTATTGAAATCATAGACCCTGGGAATAATTTTGTTTGTATGGAAGAGAATACAACTGTGAAAATTGAATCTCTGGCAATATGTCATTAAACCAAATTAAACTGGGGAAACAGAACACCAAAGTATTATTGATAATAAAAGAAATCTTAATATTAAAATATGCATACCTCTATTGGAATCAAAGATCCCTTCTTTCTAAAAGTTCATCCTTCTAGACATATTTTTGCTTCCCACATGACTGCCTTCCCAACACAAAATTATTAAATAATATATATATATATTTATATAAAGTTTATTTAATAGAATAGTTATATTATTGTGTATGTTTTTTTCCAGGATAATTTCTTATTGCCATAGAAATTAATATAATAAATTTTATTGAGCAACATCAGGACAATAATTTATCATTGAAAACATTTCAATAGATTACTCCACTACTGTATGCCAAGAACATTGCTAGGCATGAAGATTTAAAAATTATTGTTTACCTCAGAATCATAGAAATAAACATCTAAACACATATATCACATGATGTATAATTGAAGTAACAGAAATATGCAAAAGCTTCCAAGAGCACACCTCACCAAAAAGATGATAAAGAAGAGTCAAGAAAAGCTGACAGTATGAACTGAAGAAACAGATTGCAAAGCAGAGAAAGGGCTAGCATTAAGATTGCAGCAGATTTCAGAGTGAAGAAAGACATCAAGGTCATATGCCAGAGAAACACAGAAGTGTTTTTTTGGAACTTGGTCTCCAAAAATGAATCAAAGACTAATGTGATAAGAGGTTAAGGAATCTAGGGAGCTTGGGCAATGGGGAAGCATTGAATGATTTTACTTAGGGCATGACATGCTATATCACTCATATTGTTAGATAGAATATTGATTCAAGGAGGTAAAATTAAGCTGGCAAACCAAGTAGAACACACAAAAGAAGATGCTGAAGGGAACAACTAGGAAGTGGTTTAAAGAAAAGTGGATAACATTAAGATTATATATAAGTATAAAAAAATAGCAGAACATTTTTAGGTTGGAAATTTGGGGAATAGCCATGAATGGGTAATACTTGTATTACACATTACCTTAAATAATAAAAAGAGGAAAAGAAACATGCTTCAGAGAGAAACATGGCTACGTATACCTTGGATATATACATAAAGAGAGAAGTAATATAAAAATTAGCTAGGATGCCATAACAGTTACAACTAGCTCAGGAGGAGACTGAGTGTGCAGATGGGCCTGGAGCAGAGACACAACACACTGGAAGGCCTGCCTTCACTGGGAGACAGCGCGCCAGCAGTTGTGCCTCTGCTAAAGAGGAAACACCTTTTCTTACAGCTCATTGGCTAAGCTCTCTGTATACCACTCACAGTGCTCTTGGTATCTTAGGTAATAAGAATCCAAGAAGGTGATCTAGGGTTTTTCCACCTCACTCCTGGAGAAAAAAACAAAACAAACAAACAAACAAAAAACGAAGGTCTGCTGCTGGAGGGGCTAAGAAATGTCACCTCCTGCTCTAGGTGGTTTGGCTCAGTGGATAGAGCCTCAGCCTGCTGACCGCAGGGTCCGTGTTCGATTGTGATCAAAGGCATGTACCTAAATTGCAGTCTCCTCCCTGGCCGGGGCCCAGGTCAGGGCTCATGCACGAGGCATGAGTGTTCTTCTCACTTTGATATTTGTCTTTCCTTTTCTCTTCCACACTCTAAAAATCAATGAAAACATATTCTCAGGAGAGGATAAAAAAAAATAATAAAGAAGAAAATATCATATCCTATGAAGAGACATCTTGATAATGATAAAGAAAGTTGTCAGATTTTCATGGTAAAAGGACTGGAGTCTGTGTTGATGAAAACACTCTGGTGGCTGTGGTGTCCTGCAGTGGCAGCTGCTGGGAGGTGCTAGAGGTGCTGCCTTCCTCTGATCAGCTGGTCGCCTTCTACAGAGGAGCTAAGCCATCAGTAAGACATCCCCTGAGGGCTCCCGGACTGTGAGAAGGGGCAGGCTGGGGTGAGGAACTCTTCCCTGAATGCACAAATTTTATGCACTGGGCCTCTAGTGTTAGTATAAAATAACCATGGAAAATCCTTTTAAATTTGTGCAGAAGGTTGCTGGACATGTTTATCTGAAGCACTGGGGACATACACGTTTGTGAGGTTTCAGGTTGTATGTGCTACCTGAAGCTCTGGGAATGGTTGATAGTCCCACAGAAAAGTGGACATATGAGAACAGTGACTAAAGGATGGAAGTATGCCAAACACTAACCAATCATTAACATGAACTATGGAAGAGAAGTTTGATCCTATAGTATTTTTAAGAGTTGAAAGAAAGGAGATCCCAAAAAGTTTGGTACCCAGAGAGTTTAAGACAATAGTATCCAAATAAGCAAGTTGAGTTCAATGGACTGGTCATTAGAGAGAGTGTCCACTCGAGAAATTTGCATAAATGGCAAAGAAATTAGGGAAGACTACAATCTAAATTAAATTATTCATTATTCAGAATCAATAGAATGACCTATAGGCAGATATTAAATTATTATATGATTTGCACAAATAATTATTTTATTCTATCATTTTCCCCATTAAAAATAGTATGGCTTGTCTTGTTGGTAATGGTCACTCAAACAGGTGTGAGGTGGTATCTCATAGTTTTGATTTGTATTTCCTTAATTGCCAGTGAGGTTGAATATTTTCATAAGTCTAGTGCCAGCTCCAAGTTTGAGATTGCAATATTATAGAAAGAAATTGCTTTTCTTTGTGAGTTGATCAATGTTAGTTCACTGCATCTTGTTCCCAGAATTATTGATTAAAAGGGAGGTTTTAAGATGTGAGTTAGCATATATGCATATTATTTGGTTAATTTCTTCCTGCCCACCCTACCCACCTATACTTCTCTCTGAGATTCCTCAGTCTGTTCCATGTTCCCATCCCTCTGGTTTTATTTTATTCAGCAGCTTATTTTGTACATTCAATTCCACATGCTGGTGAGATTAGGTGATATTTGTTTTTCTCTGACTGGCTTATTTTGCTTATCATAATGCTGACAATAATGGTGAAGGCCTAGGGTGGGTTGGAACCAGGTAGAGGGGGGCAATGGGGAGAAAAAACGGAAGACATCTCTAATACTCTCAACAATAAAGATTTTTTTAAAAGACCAAGAAACTATGCCAACTTTGTGGCCATAATTAAATAAACAAACAAACAAACAAACAAATAAGTAAATGTGAATTAGTCTTTTGTTACCAGGAAGTATGTGGTCAGTGTAAATTCAGAGCAAAAAATTTTGCTATTCACTAAAAATGACAAGTTTTCCACAGCTTCTGAAATTTACATATTAAATTCATAAAAAGAGATTTACAAGAATGTTCAAAGCAGATGTTCAAGAATGTTCAAATGAGTAAAGCTTTATTCACCATGAGTCAGACCTTGGAGAACTTTACCTAATTAGTTTTTCTCATTCCAAGTGAGAAATCTCACTGGGTTTGCAGAGTTGGTGCCCAAAGTAGTTATTATTTCTGGTGCTTTTTGTTCCTTTTTGTAGATCCACATTTTCATCTGGATCTACAAAAAAAATTTTATTTTGCCTAAAGGACTTCATTTAACATATATTGTAGTGTGGATTTGCTAAACATGAATTCTTTTCACCTGTTTACTTTTGACAATGTCTGTAGCACCTTTATTTTTTGAAAGACGTTTCCTCTGAGTATAGTGTTCTAGTTTTTTTTCCTTAGAAACTTCAAGGATGCCATTCTGCAGTCTTTGTTTGCATTGTTTCCAACAATACGTTTGCTGACACTCTATGCAATCTTCTATAAATAGTGATTTTCCTTGAGTTGTTTTTTAAGATTTTCTTCTGATCACTAGTTTTGAACAATTGTCTATGATGTTCTTTTGCTTAGTTTTATTCATTTTTCGTGTGGTTGAGCTCATTGAACTTCTTGGATCTGTAGATTTATAGTTTTGATAAAATGTAAGGATTTTCTGGCTAATGTTTTTTTAAATGTTTTGCTCCTCCTGCTCTTCTTTGAAGACTCTAATTACACATATAAAAGGCCCCTTAAAGATGTCACACAGCTCATAAGGCTCTTAAA